GAGGTCTGGACTTCAACTCCCAGAATTCCCAAGCCAGTGAATGCTGGCTGAGGGAATTCTGGGAGTTGAAGTCCAGACCTCTTCAAGGGGCCAAGTTTGGAAAACACTGTCTTATCTGACCTAGGCAGTTTTGTGACCCCTTTCCCAAGGTATTTCTCACATACCATTACACTGTATCATCGCCATCTTTAGAGACAGTGGTAACAGAGACTGAGATAACTCAAAAGGCAGTCATTCTCTGGCTTTCGTACAGGTAGTCCTCACTTAGCAACCGTTCAAAGTTACAACAGACCCTCAAAAAGGTTCCAACAAGCTCACCTCTTTACTGATAGTCACAGGATGTGGAGGAGGGAATGACTCTGGAACAGCACAGAAACCCAGGCTGGGAACTGTCACCAAAGCTGGTATTGAAAGACACAGAAAGAGGCAGAGGAATGAGATCTTTTGAGAATCCGTTCCCAATCAATCTAAAGAAAAGCGCATGTCAGAGTTTCGGCAGTGTGGCTATTATTATGAGATAAACCCAGGAGCATAACAGAGCACACGGCACACAGAGCCTTTAGACAATTAATAGTGGTTTATATACAAATATATATAGACATACACATGGAGATAAATCCCTTACCACTCAGCTACCGACACAAGGAGAGAAATGAGATACACGACGAGAGAGAGAAACACCCTCTTTATATAGAAACCTCTTAAAACAGTAAATGCCTTGTGTGGACCCCACTAGAGTCTTAAACAGGCGATACCTGTACTGCTGAATCATCCTCATTGCATCAGCTTACAGTTTACAGCTTACAACCGTTCATCAGCTGGCAGCTATTAAATCCTCAGTACCTGACAGTGCATTTGTTTAAGGTGCCCGAGACATTGTAGGCAGGGACTCTTGCTGCGAACACAGTCTAAAATTGAAGCAGGGTTGGCACCTAAAGTCTCAGGTCCTCGCGGTCCAGTTTTGGAAACGACTTCGGTTCTTTCCCACGGCAACGTGTTGACAACCAGAATGGTATCGCTGCTCTTGTCCTGGCTGGCCAACGGCTCTCCGCACAAAGAATGGGTGGCCTCTTTCAGAAGCTGGGCTCCAGAACTGCGAATTTCTTGAAGGAAAGAGAGGGGAAGAAGAGAGAAAGAGCTCCGTCAAAGGAGTGTCCACATTCAGAATGAGCTATCGCCATGCTGCACATTAGGGGGAAAAAAACCTTGAGCCCTAGTGTGCTGCAGAGAGATTAAATTAGTTATAAATCTAAGCCTCTTTCGTAGCCCTCAGTCGTAGACAGGGGTGGGATTCAGCTGGTTCGGGCGAACTGGTATAGCTGTGACGCGATCTCTGAATTGGTTGTTAAACCGGCAGGATCCCACCACTTTTCGTAGACCTTTGCCCTGTTCCCCAGGACGTCACAATCTAGTTTAAATGGTTCTATCAAAAGGAAGGAAGTGCCAGGCCTGCTGCCATGTTCCTCTTGGATCTTTGGCCCGCCACGCTTTCTATTATTCTGCTATGCCTTTTCTATTGTGGGAAAACGGGCGGGCGGATTGGACGCAGTTAGATGCGATGTAGCCATAACAACATTCTTCCTAGAAAGCCAAGGTCATCCTTTGTCTCTGCACCTGACCAGAACTGGATGGGTGGAATCTGTCGTCGTGGCAGTGGGAGATTGGAGCATGGGATGGACTTGTGGGTATGGGGGCAAGATCTTGAACTTTCAACCGGGTGGGGAAAACTGGGAAACTTTCAGATTCGGGTTTCCCCAAATGTGCCAACATGGCTCTCTTCATCAATTGGAACTTTGAGCAATACTTTGCCTTGGACTCTGGATTTACTTTTGGATGCTATTTGGAACCCTGACAGAAATCTATCTTCTACTGAGCAGAACCATGGAGGTAGAAAACCACCATGGATGCCCATCAGGACTGGCATTAAATCACCAGAACATCAGGGCTGAACCTTGTGCTTTGAGTCACATTCTACCTCTTGCGAACCAAGCCATGCAGCAAAGCCTGAGGACTCGAATGGCCATTTATGGTCCCTGAGCTTTGACAGCTGCCTAACCAAATCAGTTCTCGAGGCTGGTTCCTTCTCACCTGAGTAGTACCGCATGGCATCCTCTGCTACAAGCTGGATACAACTGCCTGGTAAGACATCGTGGAATTGGTTCAAGAGTAGGAGCCTGTGGCCAAAAGAGAGGAGGGGAGATCACCACACACCAAGAATATGGAAGACCTTAGAAAGATGCAGCTGGATTAACTCACAGTTTAGTGTAATCAAGAGTATTGTGAGTCACAGTGCAGCGCAGTGGTTAGAGTGCAGTACTGCAGGCTACTTCTGGCGACTGCTGGCTGCCTGCAATTTGGCAGTTCAAATCTCCCCAGGCTCAAGGTTAGTCTTCCATCCTTCCGAGGTGGGTAAAATGAGGACCCAGATTGTTGGGGGCAATAGACTGACTCTGTAAACCGCTTAGAAAGCGCTATGAAGCAGTGTAAAGCGGTAATTTGGCCACTAGAAGAACCAATCCTAATTCCAAAAGCTTCTATATTCTACGAAAGACCAACATTTTGTATTTTGAAGTTTATACCTCCAAAGGTGTTGAAGCTGAGCAGAAGGATACTGGAAAGAACGTTTCTGCACCAGAGCCAAACTACTCAGGATCTCAATATCATGGAGTAAACGCTCACATTCCCTGTTTCCCTTTTTAATCTGTATCCAGAGAGAAAAATAATAGGATTTTATACAAACATGTCCAGTGACTTAGAAATAAAAATGAAAAATGAGGCATTAGGGAAGGGAAGTAGATTAGAAATCTTATTGAGATTGCAATTCCTAAATTAATACAATTACTCACTGCTGTATACTGGAGCACGCCTTGAACGCCATTAGCATTGACAAAAATCACCACCAGTCAATTGCAAAAGGCAGCTCACTTGGAAGGGAATTGACAAAAATTACCACCAGTCAATTGCAAAAGGCAGCTCACTTGGAAGGGAATTGACAAAAATTACCACCAGTCAATTGCAAAAGGCAGCTCACTTGGAAGGGAATTGACAAAAATCACCACCAGTCAATTGCAAAAGACAGCTCACTTGGAAGGGCATTGACAAAAATCACCACCAGTCAATTGCAAAAGGCAGCTCACTTGGAAGGGAATTGACAAAAATTACCACCAGTCAATTGCAAAAGACAGCTTTGCTCAGAACAGCTGACATCCTGCAACCATTCCTTTTAACACCATCAAACAGCATCTGGCTATCCCAGGTCTTTGGGAAGGACTCGATAGCTGCATTAAAATACCAAATCCAGTATAAGCTTCTGGCTAATTGTGCCATGAACCGTAATATTAATAGATATGTTCAAGGTGTATTGTTTTAAATCCTGGCGCTTGTAGTGTAGCATTAACAAACATTTCTATAAAATTCCTACGAAGCCTTGTGCTCTCTCTCTCACCTGCCCATGAGTTGTGTAGGTGCCGTTATGCAGCTCCAAAAACAGTTCTCCAACCCAAGTACAGAGCTGAGCCTTTTCCTTCTCCAGGGCAGAGAAAAATTGTTCCGGGACAGACATTTGAACCCTGTGTGAAAGAAAATCACCATTGCAGACAACACGCAATCAGGACAATCTTGGTCTTGCGTTCATTTAAGGAACTTAAGGCAGTATTTTCTCAGCCCTTAAGATGGACTTCAGCTCCCAGAATTCCCCAGCCAGCATGGGTTAAGGTTGAGAAACAATGCTCTAAGGCAGGAGTCCCTGTGCTGGGTGAGGAATTCTGGGAGTTGAAGTCCACAAGTCTTAAAAGTGGCCAAGTTTGGAGACCTCCCTGCTCTAAGGCATGAGTAACCAAGTACAGAATTGAATTTTCCTGGCTTTGTTTCTGGTTTGTTTGGAGCATTGATGGTGAACCTTTTCAGCACCGGGTACCAAAAAGGGACGGCGAGTATGCGCATACGGCATCGGGTGCCGAAAAGGGAGCATTTCGAATGTGCACTCATCTGGGCCGCAACCAGGAAGAAGAGCTGCCCAGGGGGGGCATGCCTGTGCACGAAAAATGAACTTCTGGTTTGGGGTGCATGCATGCGCGCCAGCCAGCAAGTCTTCTGGTTACTGCTGCGCATGCACAAATCAGCTGAGTGCTGTGCATGCTCACACCGTAAAACAGAAGACCAGCTCTTCCGGTTTCTGGCAGTGCTGCACACGCCAAAGCCAGCTGATAATCGCGGAAGAGGAACGGGTGACGGGCAACTTGGCTGCATTGGCCACAAGTGCCACAGGTTCCCCATCACTGGTTTATAGAGTTTAGCCAAGAGGAACCAACCTGGGTAGGCCATCCGTATCCTTCATTCTCTGGAGCCGGTCCAGCATCTTCTGTGTGGGGCCCCCTCCTCCATCTCCAAATCCAAAGAGAGCGACACTGTGATTCACACGGCCCTTGTCCTTATTATTCTTCACCGTTCTCAACATCTAGGACAGAGGGAGGATAAGTGTTAGGAATATAATTCTAANGTTCCACCAGTGGATCCGGAAAACAGGCCACACCTACAGAGGAGGCTCCAAAAATTTTTGAAACCCACCACTGCTTCTAACTCTGTTATTCTGTTATAATGTGCTCCCTTTCACAAAAGACTACGTCTGTTTAATATAAACCTATCTCCTTGGGCCCAGAGGGCATCCTGTCTCTTTAAATTTAGCTCCTAGGATTTCTGGCCAGCTCCAGAAAACTTTTTATGCAGGGCAAGATAGTGAAAGTACTAGACAGGTCCAATAAATCAAGCCTGGCTTACTCATTTGTTTAACTGCTGTAGTCCAACGAGACTCTTTTCTTCGTTGATTTTCATGATAAAACATAGCATCCTGCATATTTACATTTGCATATTGTTTGGCTATGGAAAAGAGAAGCAAAGGCTCTGAGATAAGAAAACCAAGTTTGAAATGCAGCCTCTCGATGCAGATAACTGGCGCGTCCTTCAACAGAAATAATGACAAAAGGATACAGATGACAGCAAGAGTTCAAGGAAAGCTTATAACTGTGATGGTGGGCGTTGTAGAATGGTTGGCTAGATGGATGAGTTTTCATCTCCCATCTCTACTAAAGCTGGCTGGATCACAAGGAATTATAGGAATTGTGATCCCAAAACCTCTGGAATTGCCTAGTTTTGGACTAAGGGATGTGACTTGGGTTCAAAATGATTTGGGGAGGAAACATAGCAATCGACTTTTTTTGGGGGGGGGGTTGCAGGTGCCTGGCCTTGGAGTGTTGTGTTAAGACTCGAAATAAACAAGCTGGCTTTAGGTCAGCTGCTAATTAAATTTGGTCCTTAAAATGTCTTGCTTAGATACATCGTGCTAATGACACCATATGCATTCACCAAGTGCTCTAGCAGACCTAAAAAAGAGGTTAGGTAGCTACTTCGTCTTAACCTCTTTAAAGGTCTTATTTTCCATTTTTTGGTTTTGGGGTTGTGGTAAGGAAGGGGATAGAACAGGGGTGTCAAATATGATTTCATTGAGGGCCGCATGAGGGTTGTGTTTGGGGGCCGGGGAGGGCATGGCCAGCTCGACATCACTCATGTGATCAAATGCCACTTTGGCTTGTAGTTAGTTTTGCTAGCGCTCTGCCAGCAAAAATGGAGCTCCTGAGGGCATGAGCTCCGTTTCCGCTGGCAGTCCTGCAGGAAGCTGTCGCAGCTGAAAATGGAGCCTGGGAGGACCACACACGGCCCTCTCGAGCTCCGTTTTTTCTGGCAGAGGCACTGCAGGCTGGTCCTTTGCTGATTCCAGGGTAGGCCCACAGGCCAGATCCAGGCCTCAGGCCTTGAGTTTGACACCCCTGGGATAGAAGAAGCAGTAGGAAAACTTGGAAGGGTGTTAAATGGAGGATAATAACTGAACTCCATTTCCATCAAATCCCAGAGGTCAGGCGGAGCAACTGCACAGCAGAAGCCCTGTCTAGACTACATCTGGACTGTCCGGGTCAAGGAACAATTCTGAAAGAGGGATCCTTTGAGAGTTTGCACTAATGCTATTGACATTGAAGGCTTGCGATGGATGTAGTGAGGAGCTGGATCCCCAGGAGAGAGGGAGTGCATTCCAGAAACATAAGGGGGAAACTCAGATGTTATGTGTGAGAGAAAGAGGGTGAAGATAGCTCTTCCCTAATAGTTCACACTTCACAGTATATTATAAAAAGGTAAAGGTAAAGGTTCCCCTCGTACATACGTGCTAGTTGTTCCTGCCTCTGGGGGGCGGAGCTCATCCCCGTTCCGAAGTCGAAGCCCCAGCGCTGTCCGAAGCCGTCTCTGTGGTCATGTGGCCGG